ATATATCTATTTATTTATCAGTTTTTTGTAATGTTGTATAATCTAGTTAGAGGGCCACAGGTTTGTCAGCTACACAGCTGTTACGTGTCCCCCTCCATAAATAAAGTCCTTACTTAGTTACTTACTAGTTAATGCATGGGATATAATTTGTCAATTTGTCGGGAAATATTTCACTGTGCGGCTACCTAAATTCTGATTAAAAGCTTGTTTGAATCGAAAATGTCCCCCACTATTTGAACCCCGGGATATGATAAAATACTAACGTGGTTTTTTTTTCCCTTTCATACTGCAAGTTACGGAACGTCGGTCCGTTACTTACAGTACGGACCTTCAACTCAGTAAGATGCATTTGTTTTTTAATCGTTAGATGGCTTTGTCTGCTGGAACTCCTATTGCACGAGGATATCTTTCCGATGTAGATTGCCGCTGGGGAATAATTTCTGAGTCAACAGACGATCGAACTCCTGAGGAAAGAGGCCTCGAGGTAGGTTTTAAGATTAAACAATTTTTAAACATTCTGAATTCTTTAATCGTAGTTTTTCAACTACTATCTTTCATCGTCTGACTTTCATTTTCATATTTTTGCAAAAGAAAACCTCTTACTTCTGATTCAGTATTGTGTTTCCTTTTCGACAGCCATTGAAGGAAAACAGATATGTGATACCGAAGTCACGATATGATTCCGTGAGTACATATCTGTCAGCTGAAGGAAATGGCTACAACGACATCGACTTAGTGTATGACGAAGATATTTACCAACAGCTCGTCGTTGCTGGTAAGTCCTGCACTTTGGCAACAACAGAACACACTGATGATAGGTTTCGGACCTTGCAAATCGCAGCGACTATTAGAATTATGAACGCAGCTACATTTTCATACTATACAAAGGGTGAGAGCTTTTGTTCACATGGCATTCCTCGGAGAATGAGAAAAATCAATTCTAAATGCTACACTGGTCCCCCTACTTGCATTTAAGAAATTTCCCTCCGCACACGCGAGTCAAGTGGTAGCTCGTTAACAGTTTCAATACTTTGCTTCTTCAGTAACTACTTTTCCTTTAATTTTGTTTCCAAAATGTACTTTATTTGACCAGCAAAAGTGCTTCATTATGAATTTTGCATGGCCTGCGGTGTACAAAAAGGGCACTTCTGGTGGAGTAAATGACAATTTGTCACCTCCACGAGGATATCTTCACCAGGACATCTGTTGTTGACCCTTTCATTCTCTAATATATTTTTTTGTTCGCGTCTCGCACTCCTTCCCAATGAAAATATTTTAAAATAAGATCAAAGAGCCTGAGATAAACCGAAAAACTGAGAACATTAATCAGGCTGAATTCAGGTGAAACGGGTGAGTTGTGTTCATTTCGCCTCGAAATCTGATACCTATGACAGCAAACAAAAGAACTAGAGAAATGCCTTCTGTTCTGAAATTCGACGTTCTTTTATGTAACGCTGCTTTATCGTCAATATTCTAGGCGTTGATGAGCCGCTGGCACGACATGTCGCACACTTGTTCATCGGGGATCCTGTGGCGTCTCTGTGCCTTGAAGACCTTTACAAAGATGACGAGGAAAGCTCAGATCTCTTTGAGGTGAGATGTAACAACATTGGTCTCAGAAGCTCGGCTTGAAACATTCTTCTGTTGAATTCTTTGAATTCCATGGTAGCTTTAAATTTTGTCAAAAGTTGTTGGACATTTTTTGGAAGTACTGCAAACATGTGAAGGGCTAAATTCTCGAAGTTAGGGTTCGACAAGTTGCCACGTTTTGAGATCAGTATAAGCAACTTAGACTAAGTAAGTTACAAAAATGTAGATTCTTCATTTTTATTAACAGAACATAAACTCCACCAACTGGCAAACTGTGCGTTTCAAGCCACCACAGCCTAATTCCTCGATGGGATGGAGAGTGGAGTTCAGGTCCCTTGATGTAAAGAGGATGACACTTCTTTCTTTGTTCCTTTGTCTTTTAGTTTTGGTACTAGTCCACAGAGACATTTAATGAAGTACGCCAGAATGGGATCTGTTTATAATATATCTTCTTGCAAAATTAGAGATGAATTCCTCAGTGGCCAAAGTGGTCGAGGAAGCAGGAACTCAGTGATTACTGTTTTTTCCCATATGATATAATTGATCAATAAGTTCCGCCATTTATTTTTGGTCTTATGGTGGTTCAAATTTTTTGTTAGATACAACTGACAGACTTGGAGAATGCCGCTTTTGTGACATTTGTGATACTCCTCACGAGGGTGATTTTGTCCTTTGATCTCAATCTGCTCATTCCTATATCTAAGGTGGGTAGACTTTCGTGGAAGAGGGGAAGGGGGAGACACTGTGACCTTTTGGTTAAGATGCTTTATTCAATTGCTAATGTTGTTTTGCCAGGTAGATGAAAATATGGTCAAAGCGCAAAAGAGGGACGCTGTCAGACAGGGAGAGTTTAGTTTCAGGAGAAATCTGTGTAAAAGTGAGCAAATTGTCCAGTCTATTCATCTCTTACACTGTATTTCGACAAGTTATTGGCTGCTTTTAACTGACATAGCTCAGCTTAGTACCGTATTTCCGTCTTGCACTCTACTCGGCTAATAGGGTCTTATAGGGTATTTGCATAAACAAACTGTTTCCAATAAATAAAGGCTGATAGTTTCGAAAGAAACTGTTTGGGGCTGCGTCGGTGGGGGTAACGAAATAATTTGGATATATGAACAAAGTTCAAATGGTAAATTGGCCACCGTAACGATTACAAAAGCTGACGTTTCGACGAAGGGCTAACGCTCGAAACGTCAGCTTTTGTAATTGTTGCAGTGGCCAATTTACCATTTGAACTTTGTTGATATATCCAAATTGTTTCCGATAAACGCGTGCAATTGTTTCTGCCCTATTTAATCTAAACACCATATTTCATACACGAGTTTAAAACACGACTCGTTACGTATTGTCTCCGAAAGGTGTTGCTGTGAAAGAGGCTGAAAATTGCCCAAACGGCGACCTACGTCATGACGGAGAGTTTGAATTGATGTCGATTGACAAGATTATCAACGGCAAGGTGAGAGTTAACAAATGGTAAACACCACAGCGTACACTATTGAGTTATGGATGCACGCGGGAGGTTGTTAAGCACAAAAGAAGCGTAAGAATCGCTCTAGGCGATAGCCGAGAGCGACTCTAGCTTCTTGAGTGCTTAGCAAACCTTCCAAGTG